CTAGAAACTAAATTTTATTATTTTTTCCAATTTACTCGTATATCAGTCGTAATATATATCATTTTCAAAATAATTGTTCATCACATCAGATATATTATATCATCTGCAAGCATTTTAATGTTTAATAAAATACAGTTAAATGTAACCTATAGGGTACAACAATATAAATGGGACAATTTAAAATTAAATTCAATAAGAAACCTGTGTGCTACTATAATTTATGTTATACAAAATATTTATGTAACAAGTTTATGGAAAAATTATTATTATATTTAAAATCATATTATTGAGGAAATTATTACTACTATTTATATTAAAAATTAAAATTACTTTTATTAAATTTACTTAGTTTAAAAGTATAAACTTAAATTAAGTTTTAAACTTTAAAATTTGTAAGTTCAAAACATTTAATAATAATCTGTTCTAGTTGTATTTAATTTATTTATTAGTAAATTAACTTTAGGTTAAAAACTAATAAATAAATAATATTTGTTGTCAACCTTTAAATGTTAATTTTTTTTTTCAAATCAATAATTATTACTGGCAACAGTCAATTAAAAAAGGTATTATTTTCTTGCTCTTGAATATTTGCCAAGTTAGATTTTTTTTCTTCAAGGACTCGAGGTAAGAGTCCAGCAGACAACTAACTGGATATATATTTTACATTTTATCAAAACATATTATATATGTAATGCAATTATGTTATTATTATTAATATGCACATTTGAATATTATTTAAATTTAAAATCGAAATACGAGTACGCCTTTATTTTTAATACTGATATTCCTTTAATATTTTGTTTAATTATATGATCATTGGTCTTTATTTTATTTTATAAAAAAATTAATAATTAATTCGTTTAATTCGGTGTCGGTCAATAACATGTTCTTATATAAAATATAATATTGGAATATTAAAACACTCAAATTATTTTTCTTATTTATTCTTGATAAAAAACGATGTTTTATAGAAAAACTGCAGTAGAATATGTATCAAGCTATATTAATTAATAATTATGTTGTTTTAAATTAATCAATCTCTCATAATTATTGTTTATCATCTGTTGGTAATTTAGTTTGGTAATTAATATGTGATGAGTGATGGCTGATGATAAAGTAGCAAATGGATCGGCGGGTATAAATAGAAACTCAACGACCAATAAATTATTAATACCTATTCATATTGGCTATTACTTATGAATCGCACTTTGTGTGAAAAAATATTTATTTTATTTTTTTATTTTTATAAGAAATATAAAATCTATACTAGGTACTTAGCATAATAAGGATATGTGATAAGAGACTTAAAAAAAAAAGACGTGATTGAAAGGAGTCACCCGCTAGTGACCCTTTGCTTGAGTGATGAAAAAATATGAAATAAATAAGTACATATGTACCAGATACCTAGGTAAGCAAGCACAACTTCAACTATAAACCATGGATTTAAACCTGTTCAGGCTGCAAATTATTTGCAATTTAAGTACCTATATACTTAGTTTATGGTTATAACATACAATTGAAAAGCAATTTATATTTTATTAGTATTTATTTATTATTTAATTTAATTAAATTAACTAAATTTCTATTAGTTTTCAGACACAAAAAATCGTTGAAATATATTCTTAATAGAAATTTATCTTGTCTAATAACGTAGGTAGTATATTATATTATTATGTACCGGGTACCTATAGTTAACCCTGCAAGACGTAACTCAAGACTGTGGCGCCTAATAAATGGCTTATTCAATAATTCCAATATCCGCAGTCACAAGGCCACAAGGGTGACATGTTTATATGTATTTTTCATCTTATAGGGCTGGTGGTGATTCCTTTTGCATAGGCGTGTCTGGAAGATATATAGAATTCACATCGATTCATATAATGAAATACAATTTTAAAAGTATTAAAAAGTTAAACAAATATATTAATATAATATACATATATAAATTATCTTGAATTAAATAATGTCTGAAACAGCTACTTTCCGTTAAATCTAAAGTTATTTTGTGGACAGTATACTATGAATTATGATGCAACCAGTATTACTGTCCACAGCACAATAATTAATTTCAAAAAATCGTATTATCTTCATATATATTATTCTAAATTGATACATTGCCATTATGTTAAAACGATAAAGCTGTTGCTTTGAAATAATAGGGGACCCAGATATTATGGATATCTAAGTATTTTAAATGGCGTATATAATGGCATGAGCGCATATCGGCGTACCACATGACGATTAAATAATTGTGTTAGAATTTATAGAACCATTATATTGGACAGAAAAAAATGTATTAAACGTTTTATGTATTATTTTAGTCAATAATCCATTTGTTTTCCTAATATATAAAATATAAATAAGTTCTTTGGTGGTATTTTTTTTAAGGCCCTCCAACATTTTCTTTTAGAGCGGGGTCCAGGAAATCAAGATCCACCATCCAGTAATGGACAGGGTGAATAAAATGAGTAAAATATTAAATAAGAGAGTTAATAAAAATAAAAAAGCAACACTGTAGTGGGAATATTTTGTGCAAAACTTTTATTCAAAATGTTCGGAAAGGTTCTATAGTACGTGTGATTAATATGTAATTGTCACTGTTACTTATTAATTTTAATAATGTTGGAATGTCACTATGTCAGAGGAACGGTGGGGTTAGAATCGATATTATTACGTTCAATAAATGTCGTCATTTGTAGACATTGAATTTAGTTTGGTATTTACGTCAAATACATATACGTTAAGTACGTTTACTTACAAACAATAGTACAGTACACCGAATTATTATTAGATTTAAATTAATTATGATTATTAATAAATCATTAAACTTGGGTATAAAATGTACGGTTTCCGTGTATTTCTTATTAGTTGGACAATAATAAACAAAATAATTAAATGAATGTCAAATGTGCAAGTACAGGTTGTGTTACGTTAAGTGCTTACTATTTTATCTTGAACTTGTTTATAATATGATTATTAATAATGGTAATGCAGTTGGTGACTTGGTGTTATCAAAATGGTTTATTCGAAAATGTAGGTTGTGAATATTCTGTAGAAGTGATTAATTTTATTTCAATAGAATTGTTTTATTTTATATTATTTAATTTATGCAACACTATTATTAATTGATTTATAATTCCTATATTTGAACGTAATTATATAGGTTACGTTTAATATGTGTGTACAAAGACTATGATATAATGGATTGGAAACGAGCAGCTTATCATGGCCACGAACGTATGTACAAGAAGCAAAGTGCGGGGGGTCTCTATGTGTTCTTTGAGTTCACAGCGCCCTCTATATTTAACACGGACTAAGATACAAATTGTGTGGCCAAATAAAACCACCGGTAGCTCTGAAAACTTCAAGAACAGTATTCTTATCAGTTAAGTGACATCTTTTCGTGGCCGTCCCCCGATCCTCGCCGACCATGTCGTTTCCAGTCCATTATATCTTAGTCCGTGTGTGTGTGTGTGTGTGTGTGTGTGTGTGTGTAATGTGTATATCAATGTATATACTATACTGGTATTACCTACGTCTTCTGTGTTCGTATTATTACGTAAAAACACTCTTAAGGTGTCGTGATTTTTCAAATTTTCCGCAATTCTATAAAATTATTTGAAAATTATTTTTTTTATACTTAATTGACATCTCAATTATTATAATACCGTTTCATTAATCTACTGCCCGATACTTATTTAGGGGAGAGGGTTGATACGGTGTATTATATCGAATGAAATTATTTCACAGGAATAATGCTCTTGTAGAATTGTCAGATATTGATAACTATTTTTTTTTTCAAATGATACATTTTAGACAATTTGCTGTTTATTATTAAGTGACTGTTACTATATATAGGTACTTCCTATTGCAATTTAAAAATACACAATATATTTTGGGATCAAATGGTTATTAATATTTGTGCATAATTAACGTAGATAACCTATATGTGTTCACACCATAGACCTTATACTAAGTACTTAGTATAAGGTCTATAATGGTTCACACTCATTTTATCAGTGATTAGATATCCACCTTATGGTTATGATTAAAGATTAAGTAACGAACATATGCTATAATAGCATAGATAATAAAGAGAGTATTTATTATCTATGATAATAATAGTCTTACAGTAATATCTATGAAAACATTTTAACTAATAATATTATCTGATTGGGAACAGGTCTTAAAAAATACATTTGCTTTAGAAAAATGTAAAATGTATAACAAAAATAATAAATTAATTTGTTTTCAAAATAAATAATTATTATTTAGTAGTATACAAAAATAGTTAGTCTTATTAGGCAAACGAGTAACGGATTATTGTGTTTCGTATTAAAGACATATTATAATTTATAGTATTATAATGCATAGTGCATACTATGCAGTGATGTCTTAGTGATGTTATTATAAACGATATGAAAACGACCTTGATAAACT